TTTGCGCCTTAAACATGTTTGCGATACTAACGTTCCTTTTTGCAGCCCTTTGCGTTTCCGCCGTGACTGAGGTGCCCCTCTGGGAACTTGTGAGTATTTTTGAACGTGAATAATGTCTAATGTCAAGTTACTTTCATTTGATAGATTATTCGTTGCATTTTGGTGATTGCAAGACTGAAATTCTTCTGTGTGGTCGAAAGAGAAGTGACGACTAAATAATAGTGCCCAAATTTCGTAATAATAAAAGTTTAATTATTGACTTCATTACATGTCTTCACAGAACTTGTTTTATGACTAAAACCGATGCAATTTTTGTTGTTTCCTTATGCATGTATAAATCTCAAAAAACATTAAATATCTTGCGTAATGTAGTTTAATAAGTGAATCACAAGAAATAATAATAAAAAATGATAATAATTATTCCTTCTTTCTAAACACTTTTTCAGTTTCAAATAAAATTTTTGAAATATCTATTAACTTTATACTGAAGGCGAGAATTTTTCAGTGGTTTTCTGAAAGATTCTTATATATTTTTTTTATTGGATTTTTAATAAAAGGCTAAAACATATTAATCCTAATGTTAAAATTCTTATTAGGTTTCTAGTAGAAATTTAGATTACATTTTCCATAGAATCTTAGGCATTCTGAATATCTAATCTCTTAATCTCAATAACATGTTAGTTTTTTAACGCAGTGACTTTGTGTCTCAAAAAATGGTCCAATTCGCTCCGTTCTTCGCTGCTAAGGCTACAGTTATATTATTTGTTGGTTTAAACAGTTGTATATTAATAGAAAAAAATGGCACATATGACATATGAAAGTAGAGAGCGAGATGTAATATTACGCCCATTTCATCAGAATGGCCAAGATCTTTTTTTTTTTTTTTTTTAAGATATCAGATATACAGCACATGTAATGCGAATGGTCTTATGCTCTTGATATTGACCGTGGAGCCAGCCAGCAAAAAGCTTTTCGAGATGAAACAAGCAAACATGTATGCTCTCGCTCAGCTGTTCGGAGGTGGATGCGTCTCCTCATAGAAACGCCAAGACTTGGAATAATAAGAGCAAAAACTAGGATCACATTTTAGTTCAACGTAGGGCATCCAGAACTCCCGAACGAGATCATACATATTGTATCGCAACTCATCCCCATGTATAGATTTCCATAAACTCTGCACGCACATACACGCGTGCATACAGTGACAAAGCGTCACTGCGGTTTTGAGTTCAGTTATTGTTCTATAATTAGGAATATAATGTAGCAAGTTTGGTTCTGGCAAAAAGAAGAAACCAACACATGGTGCAACTACGAAAAGCATTTACAAAGGACTCGGCGATTTTGTAGATTATCATTTGATTTGCCTGCTGTACATAGATGTTTAGAAGAAATATTTAGCAATTTTATATTTCAAGAAATGTGAGAGCCATAATTGATACTTTTATTAAGAGATGAGGGAGGGGGAAATACCGCCTGCTTCCATAGGTGTTGCCATTTCGATAAAGAGGATTTCAGGAATTAGTCAACGATAACTAATGTCTTCTCGCTTACAGCTGCCACCGCTGGCTAGCCTAGTGCGAAAAAGGGAGCAGCACTGCATAAGCCTCCTCTGCCAGTTCATAGCCTCTCCATCATTGAGACTCCCTGCAGTGACTCCTCGTGGCCTCCCATGGAAACTGGGTACCTTGCGATTCCAGGCTAAACTGAGGGGGATCTCGGAGCAGCAGGAGGCCCCAGAGTTTCAGGGTCATGGCCCACCGGCGTGTGAACACGCCCTGGCCCTGTACCAATTCCTGCCCCTAGGCCCCCTGGGATAAATGGGAGGCTCAGGGGAGGTGGGCCTTGCCAGTCCTCCTCCCCCCAGATAAAAAACCATTGGCAGTGTTAAATATATATGGTAATGCTGGGAAGAGGGGAACTGCTCCTCCCACCCAGCAAGAGAGGCGGGCTGTGGATCCCGCTGGAGGGGCAACTTCCGGGACACAGGACGGGAGCGAGAACTACTCGTCCCGCCTGTGTTCTGGTAGATGCCAGCCCGGAGTGAGGCTGACAGGGGAAAGCCTTCGGGAGCCCCGTAGGTGGATGATGGGTTCCACAGCCTGCCGTCCCCTTTTATGTGGAGCAGCGTCGGCAGGGTGGCAGAGGTAGCATCCACCCGGAGCGACTCCCCGAGGCTAAACCTCAGGCGGGGAGTCAGGGTGGGGGCTTGGAACGTCCATTCTTTGCATCAGGATGATCGGTTGCCTCTGTTGTCGAGAGAACTGGGGAAGCTGAGAGTGGATCAGAGGTGAGAAAACCTGGCAATGGAACGATCAGTGTAGGTGGCTACACCTACTACTGATCAGGCCGCAGCGACGGTCACCACCTCCAGGGAGTAGCTATGGCCATCTCCAGCAGACTCCAGCCCTCGGCAGTAGAGGTTACTCCAGTCTATGAGCGTATAATGGTATTGAGACTGAAGCTGTCTTTTGGCTTTATGTTTCTTATTGCTGTGTATGCTCCTACTGATGTTTGTAAACTTTATGTGAAAGAGATGTTCTACACCAAACTAGTGTCTGTGTCAGGTGCCTCCGGCGAGATATTTGTGTTGTCCTGGGTGACTTCAATGCGGTATTAGGCTGTGATCGAGCTGGCTGTGAGATGTCTGTTGGTCCCCATAGTACGGGAGCTGATACCGGCAGCGAGAATAGCCTCCTTTTCCGGGACTTTGCTAGGTCCCAGAAATTGAGGATTTCTGGCTCCTGGTACCAGCGCCCAGACTCACATCGCTGGACATGGCACAGCGATGCGGGTAATGCAGCCAAGGAGATCGACCACATACTTGTTAGCACTCGTTGGAGGATCCTCCAGAATTGTAGGGTGTATGGGAGTGCCGAGTTCTGTGGTACTGACCATAGATAGGTTGTGGCTATCCTCCGAGTCTATTTCAAAATGCCCTAGCGGACCAATGATCACCCCAGGATGTTTCACTTGGGCAGGCTGAGGGAGGGGGAATGTGCCCAGGGGTTTGCTGAGGCAGTCAGTCTCTGGTTGTTTCAAAGTGCTCGAAAATCTGATGGACCCTGTACTTCTCTGGGACACCTTCAAGCGTGAAACACTTGAAGCTCAAGAGTCGATTGGTGAACGCCCGAGAGCAGGGCGAAATTTCACCTCACAGGAGACACTGGATGCCACAGATGCTTGTTCTGCAGCTCATCTGGCAGGGGATCGAGATTTGCACCATTCCCAGGTGCGCAGAACTCGGCCTTTGTTAAGAAGGGACAAGGAACAGTTTATTAGGAATCTTGCTGAGGAAGGCCATTTCTTAATAAATAACCTTCGTCCTGCATACCAAGCCCTGAGAAAGCTGAACTCCAAGCCCACTTCACAGGTGACAGCAGTTCGCTCAGTAGGTGGTCAGATCATCTCAGATCCTGTTGCAGTGCAGGAACGTTGGGCTGAGTATTTTGAGCAGTTGTACCAGGTTGACCCACCAACAGTTATCTTGGATGCAGGTAGTGCCGAGATTCCGTTGCCGGACCCACCCATCGGTGAGGATGCCCCCTCCCTAATCGAAGTTAGGGGGGCAATCTCCAAGCTGAAGAGTGGTGAAGCAGCTGGTATATGGTATATGTGGCATCCCAGCTGAACTGTTAGAGGCTGGTGGTGATCCTCTGGTGCGGGGGTTGCACGTTGTCCTGGCTGCCATCTGGCGGTCTGGTACCGTTCCTGACCTGTTGAGGGGTGTGGTCATTCCTCTCTGGAAGGGGAAGGGGGACCGATGGGACTGCATCAACCACCGAGGCATCACACTGCTCAGTATACCAGGCAAGGTTCTTGCCCACATCCTTCTGAGACGTATCAGAGATCACCTAATGTGTCGGTTCTTTTGATTTACTTAAGTATTGGTAATTCACCTTTACCTTTTCATTATCCAGATACCTTTTAAAAGAAAGGGGTATAAAAGGATATAATTTTTTATATGCCATATATATTTATAGACAAACGAATAAATAAAATTACAAATAATATAGTCCGCAGGATGTTTTACAATTATACTGATGCGAGACTTGTTCTTAGGAGGGGGCGTGTCACGGACGACTATCAAGGCCGTGCGCCGATTAATACTGTCCAGCCTTTCTTGATAATTTTTTTTTACAAACGTTAAAAAGGCTGTGAAAGAAAATAAAAAGTTGATTTAATAAATATGTATAGGAAAAGTTTCCTATACAAGAATAAGCTAATAAGTATACAAAAGGGCGGTCACTTACGAGATGATGTTTCACAGTGCTCCCATGAGCAAGTGTTATGGTGGAGTGAACGATTACCCCCCCAGGTGGCTATGTAGTGGGGAACCACCGCGCATGCGCAATGCGTAAGGGATGGTACTTACAAACGCAACTAAATACAAGTTCAAATAAAGTTCAATTTCCATTAAATTAAATGTATAATTAATACATTATAATTAATACAATTCCTTGACAATACTCCCCAACGAAGCTAAAAATCTATGAATTTAAGCCACATTGTATTTTGTTAATGACATTACAAGCAACGACTTAACATGTCTGCACCAATATTTTCTTTGCCTTTTATACTCAATCCTAAAGGAGAAGCACTGTAGTGATAAGGCCCATCTCATCAGCCTTCCATTTGAGTTCTTCATATTTCTAAGATAAGTCAGAGGCTGCTGATCTGTTTGAATTACAAATTCTTTACCAAATATGTACCTTTTGAATTTTTCTACAGCCCATACTATTGCCAGGCACTCCTTTTCTATTGTGGCATAGTTTCTCTCCCGATCCAGGAGCTTCCTACTTGCAAATGCAATCGGCATTTTGGTGCCATTAATGTCTTGCAACAGAACAGCGCCCAGACCACAATCAGAAGCGTCTGTTCGTAAGAAAAATGATTTTGAAAAGTCAGGGAAACGTAAGATAGGCTTACATGTTAGTTTTGACTTTAGTTCATGAAAACTAGCAATCTGGGAATCATTCCACTTGAGTTTATTACAGCTATTCTTCTTCAATAAACTGTTCATGGGATTTGCAATAGCAGCAAAATTTGGAATGTACCTCTAAAAGATCTTGGATCTTATCATCTAGGGGTT